CATCAGGGGTGTATAACATACGGCCGGAACCGGCCCGCAGGATAATTTAAAGGTGAAAAAATGCACAAAAGACACGTAATGAATATTTTTAATAAGGTGCAATTCATGGAATATCCGTTAGGGGGACACACTGTTTTAAGCAGAGGAAAAGTCAACATTTTTTTGATCAGAGAAGAAGACAACGGCAGCCTCAGTCTGTCACTGAGACAGACCCAACACAACAAGCCTCATTTTATTTTTCAGAGTTGAAGGAAGAGTGTTCTTGGGTCCTCCGTGCCACAAGAGGGAGTCACCTGCTCACCGCCAGAGTCCACCTACGAGCACAGACATGCAGGCAACACTTTTTGCTCTTCTTCTTGTTATTCGCAAGGTGCTGAAGTCAATCTTTGGGCCAGCCTGAAAAGTAGGAGACATTTCCACTCGTTCAATGCACCATCATGACTACTTTTTTGACTTTTTTTTTCTCCCCCAGGCAGCAGTAAACAACATGATCGGCTTCCTGCTCTCGAAAGACCCAGCAGTCTATCTCCCTGGTAAGTTTCATGCCCAACACATCTTTGTCTGCACAAGAAATTGACTTACGTGTAACTCACGGATGCCTTTCGTCTCAGGTCAACACACCTGTCCCACGTTCTTCTCAAGAGCTGACCACTTCGCCGCCCAGCAACAAGCAGACTGCCATCCAACTTGCAACTTTTTCCTCTGCTTTTGTGATTGTCTAGTCTGCAAAAGAAATAAAGCTTGATTGTCAAGAACACTTCAATGCAACTTCATTTTTAAACACATCCCCACAATCTAATTTAAAAAAAATAAAAAATTTAAACAGAATTATTTTCTTTTTTTTTCTAAACTTTTTTTCTGAATTTTTTTCAATTTTTTTTTTCCCAAAAATTTTTTTTTCCTGGATTTTTTTTTTCCAGGCAGAAAAATCCAGGAAAGTTGGTGTGGCTTGGCTGGAATGATGGCTGATGATTCGCTGATAGCTGTGAAAGTGGATGGAGCATGAACGAAATCATGCTGTGATTGGTGGTAAGGGAACGTGGTTATGTAAATGAGGTGTTCTCTGATTGGTGGGCTCTTTGGGGCGTGGTTATTCAAATTTGGAGCAATCTCATTGTTTTTGTTCGTCTAAAACGCCTTACTATACATGGTCGTTTTTTATGATAAAAAAGCCTTACTATACATGGTCGTTTTTTTCGGCTAAAAACGCCTTACGATACATGGTCGTTTTTTTCGTCTAAAAACGCCTTACTATACATGGTCGTTTTTTATGATAAAAAAGCCTTACTATACATGGTCGTTTTTTTCGGCTAAAAACGCCTTACGATACATGGTCGTTTTTTTCGTCTAAAAACGCCTTACTATACATGGTCGTTTTTTATGATAAAAAAGCCTTACTATACATGGTCGTTTTTTTCGGCTAAAAACGCCTTACGATACATGGTCGTTTTTTTCGTCTAAAAACGCCTTACTATACATGGTCGTTTTTTTCGGCTAAAAACGCCTTACTATACATGGTCATTTTTTTCGGCTCAAAACGCCTTACTATATATACATGGTCGTTTTTTTTGTCGAGAAACGCCTTACTTTTCATGGTCGTTTTTTTTCGGGTTAAAATGCCTTGCTATACATGGTCGTTTTTTTCGGCTAAAAACGCCTTACTATACATGGTCGCTTTTTTGTTGAAAAACGCCTTACTATACATGGTCATTTTTTTCGGCGAAAAACGCCTTACTATACATGGTCGTTTTTTTCGGCTAAAAACGCCTTCCTATACGTGGTCATTTTTTTCGTCTAAAAACGCCTTACTATACATGGTCATTTTTTTGGCTAAAAACGCCTTCCTATACGTGGTCATTTTTTTCGTCTAAAAACGCCTTACTATACATGGTCGTTTTTTTTGTCGAAAAACGCCTTACTATACATGGTCGTTTTTTTTTGTCGAAAAACGCCTTACTTTTCATGGTCTTTTTTTTGGGTTAAAATGCCTTGCTGTACATGGTCGTTTTTTTTTTTTTTGTCGAAAAACGCCTTACTATACATGGCCGTTTTTTTCGTCTAAAAACGCCTTACCATACATTGTCGTTTTTTTCGGCTAAAAACGCCTTACGATACATGGTCGTTTTTTTCGGCTAAAAACGCCTTCCTATACATGGTCGCTTTGGTGTGGAAAACATACAGAATAGTATTCAAGTCAAACGCTGTTCGCGATTGCTTTTTGATTGACAGCTGAGGTCTACTTGTCGGCGGCGTGCTCGCTCACTGCACCCCCCTTTGCTGACGTTCTTTTTTTATGTTGAGTCACAACAACAAAATGAAAGGAGCAACGTGTCATAATAACTCTCCCCAATTGTCTACATCTATACACTGAGATTAACTGCGAAGTCAGTTTAAAATGTTAAAATTACTCACTGAGAACAGGACTTGTGGACAGCGGAAAAACGTGCTCATTGAACCGGATGTGGTACCGTTCTTGTGCTTGTACGTGGTGTTCTTCTTCCTGGTGAATTTGATGTCTTTAGTTCATCTCGCCCCCTCCTGTCCGGGAAACCACAAAGGTGTTTGGCAAGCAATCTGAATCTAATTTACAGTATTAGCCAAGTGTGCAAAAACACAAAACACTAAATTAGGGCATATCTTGAAGAACCACAGATTTCAAGGGCAGCTGATCCACTGAGCTGGTGGAAATACCACGCTTCTGTCTACCCCCGTTTGATCAAAGTAATGGAGAGTAGATTGTGCATTGTAGCAACATCTGTCCCGTCAGAGAAGGTGTTCTCAAAGACTGGACAAATTGAAGTATTCCAAGTTGAAGTATTTAGTTTTTCTTGACTGAAAATTTAAAATAAAGCAAGGAGTAGCTTATGTTTGTTTTGTTCACTGCTGCTGTTGCAGTTAATACTCACTATTTTTGTTATGATGCAGCACGTTTGATTGTTGTTGGTTGAAGTTTAATTTTGTTGCTTGTTTCTTGTTTGGAGCCTTTTTAATGTTCAATAAAATAAGTAAAAAGCCATTTCTTTGCTTGATAATTGTTGCTATTTGCAGTCAGTAGAGTGCAATATTTAGTTCACCAAGTCATTTATCAAAATGTATGCTAAATTTGTCATAAATATTTCAAAGAAAAGCTAAAATTAAAAGAGCCGTTGAGAGCCAAAAATGGCCGGCTCTTTTCACTGAGCCGATCTAAATGAACCGGATCACCGAAAAGAGCCGAAAATCCCATCACAAGTTGGTGGCGCGCTGGTTGATATTTGGTTGCTGACTGCCATCTAGCGGAGACTTTAATAGGGACACTCGACAATGTCTCTGAAATGACTTTAAAGTGGGAGCAAGCACGTCCCAAATCCGACAAGCAGCGATGACGTCATCTGAAACAAAAAAGCGCGTTATCGTTTCTGGAATACTAAAGGCTTGGGGGAGTTGGGAGGGGTACGAAATAGTAAGCGATTGAAGGATATATTGTGGCTATATGTCATTTTCTTTTTTTTTTTTTCTTTAAATTCTCCTCCTCACTCACACACACACCGCCCCCCCCCCTCTTTTTTTTCACATGTGTTGCTCCACCAGCATCAAACTTGAGGTCCGTGACGGGGACTCGGAGGAGAGCATCAATTGCCCCTGTCCCAAAAAAAAAAAAGGAGAAAGTCTCACTGAGCTCAGAAGAAGAGAGAGACAGAGAGAGAGAGAGAGAGAGAGACACACGCAGAGCAAGGAAGCGGGGGTAAGACAAACTCCCGACCAAGGTTGGAATGACTCGTCATTCGTGGGCTTAAATGTCAACTCCAGCCTGGACAAGGTCACCTTGCGTGGCATCGCACGAGTGGAGGAGCTCAAGTCGACTTTGGACTGCGCCTCGTCGTCACATGAACGGTGAGTGCATGTGCACGCCAACTGGAGGAAATTATTTGTGGACGTGCTGTTAACAGGTGGGGGGCATCGACCTCCCTTTAAAAATGGATCGGATACGGTTTGTGCACAGTTTGCTCGATCAATAATCGAAACGGTGTATTAGTATTTTTAGTTTAAACATGAAGGATGCATGTTGACTTTGCCAATAGAATATTGGCCCAATTGCGTTTTAATCAAACACTAGATTATAAAACGTTTACGTTTTTTTTTGTACGCGCATAATGCAACACCAACGAATGGTGCAATTTGAAAAATCATTTGTTTTATCTAATAGTTGAATCAAAACAACACATGTGGATTTTCTTCTCTCCCGACCAGTGAATCGTTCCTCTCTTTTTGGATAGCCGCCCCACCAAAAAAAAAAAAGACATTTTTTTAACCGAGAAAGAAAACGTGGATATATATTTTTTTGTTGTTGGGTTTTTTTTTTCTTCTTTTGGTTTTTGGGGAGTGGGGGGGCGGAGAAGCTGAGGACTTTGGCTCGGAGTCTGCTCTGGATTGATGGCGTCTGCACCGTCCTCCTCCTCCGATGGCGATCCGGATCCCAACGCGACAAATTTACGGCCAGCGGGCTCAAGTAGGTGCACGGCAGATAAAAGGCGATTTCACGCGTGTTACTGAGGCCGATTTCGTGGGTCATTCATCATTTCCATTGGGGTTGGGGGGGGGGGTGGAGAGGGAGGCGGCGAAATGGGTTCTTTCTTTGCTGCATTACGGACGCCCTGGACATTATTATTATTATTAATATTATTATTATTATTATTATTACTCTTATTATTATTATTATTGCTGTTTTTGTTGTTGTTCCGTCTGCCCGTGTGGCAAGCGGCCACATGGATGCATGCATGTAAAGAGACCCTAAAGTGGCAATTAATTGAGCCATATTAAATTGGCCTTAATGGAACACTTGAACATTTGCAGCCCGAGGAAATATTTCCAAGAACAAAACAAGACTAGTGAATAGCATGCGTGTTTCTGCCATTAAAAAAAAAACGAACTGTGTGTTTGGTTTTTTTTTGATACATTTTTTAAAATAATTGTATGGGGTGGATGTGTATTTTAAATGTTTCATATAGAATTTATTATAATTGCGACAGCCTGGTCCAAACAGCTGAGCACAGGCCAATGATTTGTGTAATGATCCGAAGCAGAGGGTTAAAATGTGGATTTGCTGTTGTTCGCACCGAGCCACCTCGACCACGAAATTGCTCTTTTTTTTCTTTTTCCTTTTTTTGGGGGGGGTGTTACCATTTGATGGCCCCTCCCCTTCTCTCCGGTGGCTGCGAGCCCGCGATAAGGCACCGGTGTTGTCTTGCACGTTTTTTTTTTTTTTTTTTTTTTTTTTTTACTCGGTGCCATTTTGAAGCTGAGAGATAATTAATTTCAAGTTAAATTAGGTCATGGAGGGGTTAAGTGTGAAGGGCCCACGGGGAACCATCGAACGGCTGAAATCATCCAAGATGTGCCTGTTTATCCTTACTTGTTATCGCCATTTTTTTGCATGTTGATTAAAATGCCATATTTGCGCTGTCAATTTTGTTGTGCTGATTATTTTCTATGCATTTAGGCTACGACGCTTGGTGTGGAGTTGCTCATGGATGTACAAGAAAATTGGGAATGAAGATTTGTGGTAAAAATGAATTCTATACTTTTTTTGGGGGGCGGGGGGGGCTTACATCAGAATGTGCACCAAATGAACGATTAAGTTCTATATCACTGTTGAGTGGAAGCTGATGAAATAAAAGGAAGGAATTAGCGATGGATTTTACGATGTACTCCCCGAGAGTCAATTTCAGCCCCCCCGATGCGAGCTGACACATCTCATAATAGTGACTGCCACGCACCGGTGGGCTGGAACACTTTTTGACCGACACGTTCCGCTGCTTTCATCACGACCGTTTAATTAGCCGGCGGTCTTCATTTGCATCATAAAAGACCACATTAAAAAAAAAAAAAAAGACCATCAATAGATTTGCAACAAACAAAATCTCCAAAGGACCTGCGCGCGCTATTCAGATTGTAATTCTTTGATTTATGAACAGCTTTTTGTGGGCGATCTGGGATCTGCTGCGTTGGAGACTCAAATGCGAAGCTTGACTACGAATTGACGGCAGCGGTTTGTTTATAAGCTACTGACGTCATCGTGCCCCCCCCCACCTCTCCCGGCCCACAATAAGGGGCCCTACTCTTCGAAAAGGGCCCCGAGAGGAGGACACGAGTTGAAAAGCACCAAATTGGAGTACTTTCCATCATGTAAACATGCTGCGGACTGTGCTAGGTTTCCTGCAGAAGAACAACAGCGTGGAGGACCGGAGCAGGTTCGCCGGCTCGTTCAAGGAACGCGCGGCCAGGAGCTTCATGCTCGCGGGCGACAACGGCGGCGGGGGCGCGCGCTTCACGCGCACGGAGACGGACTTCTCCAACCTGTTTGCCAGAGGTAGGGACACCTGCAACCTTGGCTAGCTTGTGTAAAAAAATAATAATAATAAAAAAAAAATGCGGAATCGGTGGCCTTGGAGCTGGAAGAAAATGTGTTGCCCCCCCCCCAAAAAAAAACGGCAAAAGTGGAAGAAATCTGAAATGTACTTAAATATAAAACTAAGAGGGTTTTGTTTTTTTTTGACTGTCGGTTTTATACAGAACCCATTTTGATAACTTGGCATGACGGGGAAAAAATGCACACAAAATAGCATCCAATAGGGTTGTAAATAGCAATTATTTTCATGATCAATTAATCTGTCAAGTATTTTGCCGATGAATCAATGAATGGGATTAAAAATTACGTTTTACTTCCCTCTATTAAAAAATAAGACATTCTTTCAAATTGACGGCGCTGAAAGTGCATAAAGGAATTAGGATTCCGTTACTGGTTTAATAAAATGTCAGAAAATGGGCAAAAATGTTGATTATTGTTTTCCATTTAATATCACGAACTAAGTATTTCTACTTTGGTACATCCCAGCACTGGCCTTCCTAAAATACACTGGCAGGCCAAATTATCTTGCACGAGCTGATGCAGTGAAATCGCCCTGTGTGGGTATGATAATGTACTTTTGATTGACACTTCCAGGAAGATATTTCGAAAGCAATGTGTTTTTTATGATGGGTGTTGCTTGCGGTCGTGCCAACTTGACTGCGGTCATGAGATGGGCAAACTTTTACAAACGCTTAATGCAATGCAGTTCAACACTATGGAAATGTCAGATGAATTCAAAAAGTATCTTCGTAAAGCCATTTGTTTTGGAGGGGGGGGTGATCTTATTAAATTCTGCAAGTGTACGTAATGTTCTGTAAACAATAGTAAACAGACCAATCTTATTTTTGGGGGAGAAATATATTTGAATTTGAGCAGAATGCACATTTCTTGAAAGACAGTTATGGACTTCTTGACTTTTGATGTGAACACATTAAGTGTCTATTCCAGGGATTTTTTTTTTTAAAGTAGTGTGTAGGTATCACCAGTGGGACTCAGGCTCGTGGCATGGGAAAGAATCACTGCCCAATTACACTTCAGTTGTATTTAACTTGGAAGTACAAAGATGTGTCATGATGCCGTGGTAAAAAAATAGTCACCATTCCTAGATTTGCTTCTGTTCTGAAAATATTGTGGTAAAGCCAAGGTTAAACCTTTTACCCATAAGAAAGTGTCAGGAAAAGCTTTATCTGAAGGTCTAAGCCCTCATTTAACATGAGCTTGACCGGGATTGGTTCATTCTAGTGATGAGGGTGTGCACACTTATGCAACCACATTGTTTTTATTTTTAATTTCCTATCTCAAAAAGGTCACATTCATGGTGTAGTACATTTTAAAATGATTTATCTGAGTCTCTTTTTGTATGTCACGAGAACCTGACATTTAACAGGGGTGTGTGCACTTTTTGTATTGGTGGTATAAAAAGTTGCAGGAATAAAAGCGAAAAATCTCTCCCCCATCTTCGTATTTAGTTGTTTAGTACATTCTATTATGCAGACAACAGTTGAGTTCTTTTTGCAGAGCTGTTACCTGCCAAAAATGGAGAAGAGCCCACCATGCAGTTCTTGCTGGAGGTGGTGGAAATCCTCACCAGCTACATCCGGAAAACCTTCGACAGGTCCACCAAGGTCCTGGACTTCCACCACCCGCACCAGTTGTTGGAGGGCATGGAAGGCTTCAACCTGGAGCTCTCGGACCAGCCCGAGTCCCTGGAGCAGATCCTGGTGGACTGTCGGGATACTCTAAAGTATGGCGTGAGGACAGGTGAGGGGGCGGAGGGGGGACAAAAAGGCCCCAAGGAGCTCAGTTGTTCGGGCGGTATTTACCTTGATGGTGTTTTTGGATTGGTCAATGTGCAGGTCATCCCAGGTTCTTCAACCAGCTCTCCACTGGGTTAGACATTGTCGGCTTGGCAGGAGAGTGGCTCACCTCGACGGCCAACACCAACATGTAAGCGTTTTGTATCTGAAATCAACATTTCCCATTGAAATGAATGGAAATGTCAAGAATCCGTTTCAGCCGTTCAGCATAACAGCCTCAAATATTGTAACATGTTTCCGAATAACAAAAACAGCGCTTATTGTACCGTACAAAAAAACAGACAGTCATAACATTAGAAAATAGAATGCAGGCTGTGGAAGTGGTCCCAGTTGTTAGCCAATCAAAGTAACTTAAATGCGGCGCGCTAGAGTCTCAACAGGGTGGAAGCACGTTCATGCGGTGAAATAGCCCCCCAACCCCACCCCCCATTTTCTCTGTCACAGGTTCACCTATGAGATCGCGCCCGTCTTCGTCCTGATGGAGCAGCTGACACTGAAAAAGATGCGAGAATTCATCGGCTGGCCCGAGGGGGAGGGGGATGGAATATTTTCTCCAGGTAAGAGCGCAGCGCCAACTCTGATGAGTGAGCCAATGCGCACGTGTCACACTTGATTGGACGCGCTGTTGTCAGCCACGTGCACCATCGTGTCGCGATGGCCGCTGAGAGAGCCCATCTGGTTTCCTGCAGGAGGAGCCATCTCCAACATGTACGGTGTGATGATTGCACGCTACAAGTTCTTCCCTGAGGTGAAAAGCAAAGGCATGGCAGCTGCACCTCGACTGGTCCTCTTCACCTCTGAGCATGTTCGTTCAACACTGCCGGCCGGGCAAGACTTTTTTTTTCCTGTCGTGTTTTTGCGCATGAAATGCTGATTGAGACTTTCTTCTGGCAGAGCCACTACTCAATCAAAAAGGCCAGTGCAGCATTGGGCTTTGGGACTGAGAACTTGATTCTGCTCAGCACAGATGAGAGGTTGCGATTTTTTTTATTTTTTATTGTATTGAGATGGAGATTGGAAGTCAGACATTGGTGTTCAAATAGTTTGGGATTTTTGAGCTATCATAACGATTGCTGACGAGTGAATTTTCTTTTCCAGAGGAAGAGTCATTCCTGCTGATTTGGAAGCCAAAGTAATCGAAGCCAAGCAAAAGGTGAAGACAAAAAAAAAAAAAAAGTCAGGAGATAGGAGATAATGGAAATAGAATTACGGTACAGTAAATAGGGATAGTGAAAAACTAAAAATAGAAAAATGTTGTCTATGTTAATAGCTTACGTAGTAAATAGACTCCAAACTATGATCCCCAAAACACTTTAGTATCATTTCAAACTCATCTTACAACAAACACGCTCTTGAGAAAAAAAATGCAGAGCAAAAACAGCATCGACTCAACGAAACAAACACAAGTCCGCTTAGCTTAATGCTAACAAACAATTTAAAGCACCATAGACGGGCTAACGAATCGCAGCGGTGGTACTGCGTTCTAACCGTTGAAGCAACAGGTATTTGAACACAAACGGTGGCGCAAAACACGTCGACAGAGTATATAACAATCCTCACAGGCATATCGTCTTAAAATTTTCAATGGTTGTATTCGTCAATGCTCATTTGCAAATTTTCAAATCCCATCACCAATGGATATGATCTGATTTTTTTCCTACGCGCCGTCATTGGTATCCATCTGTGTGTGATTGTAGCACCAAAATAAAAAAGCAAAACATACTTGTTGGTGTAATTCTGTAGATAGATGACAGCAGTTGGACTTCCTCAGTTCAGTGCGACATCTACCCCCAGAATAGTTTGATCAAATTCAAAATTGCTCCGTTCGCTGTATTTTGCTTCAAGTGTACAATGAGGCATTCGTCCACAGTGTGCTGCACAGTTTGCCAGGGCAAGCGAGGTTATATTAATAACGCTTCTGTCCGCTCACATGTGAGGCTCCTGTGGAGTAAAGTGCTGCAAGTCATTCTTCAAGGCAAAGTGATGTGAGGGCTGGAGTGGAGGGGGCGGGGGGCGGGCAAGCAATTTTTGTCGGAAGCGTATCTGCAGAGAGCAGGAGTGCATTATTACCCAAATGCTCCATCCCGCCTCTCTGATGTCAGGGAAGGAACATCATTACCGACGTGTCGTTCCCTTCCAGGGCTTCGTCCCCATGTATGTGAATGCCACGGCCGGCACCACCGTCTACGGAGCCTTCGATCCTATCAACGAAATCGCTGACATCTGTGAAAAATACAACATGTGGCTTCATGTGGACGTAAGGGAATGTTCCGTAATATAAGTGTCAAATTAATATTTGAAAGGATGTGTTCTCACTCCTGGAAAAAAAAAAACAAATGTGTGCAGGGTGCATGGGGAGGAGGTTTGCTCATGTCGAGGAAGCACAGACACAAGCTGAATGGAGTCGAGAGGTGCGGTATAACAATTCACTGGGACAGAGAGCACGATACAAAATTTAGGACTGGAAGTCTTGCTGCTCCCCTCCGCCCCCTTAAAAAAAAAAAAAAAAAAGATTTAATGCACTATTTCTAAGATGTTAGAGGGTAAAAAAAAGAAATTGTGCAAATCAAACATGTCACTACCAAAGTTTGCGGTAAAAGTGCTGATCCGATTACAGTATATCCAATTTTTACAATACTTGAGATGGGCGATGACAGATACCAGGTATCGAGTCAATACCGGCATTATTTTAAGTTACCGGGTACTCATTAAGGCTGCCGATACCAGTCACCGATACTTAAGGCAAAAAAAAAAAAAAAGCAGACATTGAGTAAGGCCTCCTCGGCAGTAATTGGCTCTACTGCGGCACTTTGACACATTGCGTTAAATGAAATGGATGAAGTCAAAAACGAGTTTGTAAAATTTCTGGTTCCAGGGTAAGGCTCGTACTTTTCATTCGGTATTCTACGTAAATATAAATTAAGCAAATTAAAGGGAGTTAGTTCGGAACAAATGTAGCTTTTACTGAAAAAGTCTTTCAAATAGGTCTTTGGTGTAATTTTGTCACAAGAGCAGACAACTCAGAGAAAAGTGTAAAAGGTTCTCGAGCCACCTGATTGCGACCACCATTGGCAAAATCATTGAAGCAGTAACACCAACCTCGCTGACCGATCATGACATCACCTTTCACGGACTTTTCACACAATGACAGTAACACCAACCTCGCTGACCCATCAGTTTCATGACATCACCTTTCACGGACTTTTCACACAATGATCATATTTTACGGTCACTTTCGAGTGACTAAAAAAGAAATGCTCTGACGAGTTTCTGATGACATAATTACGCATTGGCTCATGATTGGCTGACACTATCTGCCGTAAAATCCGTCCGGCACTGGTCGGTTTCTGAAATAAAACCGCTATTTTTGCAGCGTAAAGAAACGCCACATCATCAAGTATTTGCACTTTGTTACTTCCCTGCCTTGGGTTCTCTTACGATCAGAGCGCCTTGTTGTTCGGAGAAAATCCAACGAATTTCGCCTGAGGTTAAGCGGCACTCAACCGCAAACCTCTGGCAGGGTTTGTAAACACCCCGCATGAAATTTGCCCTCTCGCGTGCATCGCAAGGTTTAGCCACGATTGATTGGGGAAAACGGGGAAAATCGAGCGGGAGTCGTAGCTGTTGGGTCTATGATGTGTGCAGAGCCAACTCGGTCACGTGGAACCCCCATAAGATGATGGGAGTGCCCCTGCAGTGTTCCGCCATACTGGTCAGAGAAAAGGTCAGATTTGTGTTTTGCGCCGGCTTGTCTTGCACATTCCCAGACTTTATGTACCTTTTGAGGAGGCTTAATTGTCACTCTTGGCGCTTGCAGGGCTTATTACAAGGCTGCAACTCCATGTGCGCCGGCTACCTCTTCCAGCCGGACAAGCAGTACGATGTGGCGTTCGACACCGGGGACAAGGCCATTCAGTGCGGTCGCCATGTTGACATATTCAAGTTCTGGCTCATGTGGAAGGCAAAGGTACCCGCTTGCTTACCGCGTGGCGTGGAAGTGAGGACACGGTCAGCGTGTTGCAGCTCAGTTTCAGGGTGTTGGCAGAAGAATCTGGGAGATTTTTTTTTTTTAATATAGAGCAGGGGTCACCAACATGGTGCTCGTGGGCGCCTGGTCGCCCACCAAAGTCACACATTTTCATGACTTCATGCAAGCTGTGCGCTCCTTTACATCGTAGCAAAGTGTCATTTCTTCAGCGCTGTCCAACAAAAAGATGGAAGAAAATATTGAGACGTTTGTAGGTCACTTTTGTCAGTATGATTCTGATGGTTCCAAGCGCTTCTGGAGTCCGTCATGTAAAAGACACTCATCTACTTTTTTTTCTCTGACCTTTAAAAGGGAACGGTGGGATTCGAACAACATATCGACAAGTGTCTGGAACTGTCGTCATACCTTTACGACAAAATCAAAGGCAGAGAAGGCTTCGAGATGGTTTTTAACACAGAGGTGAGATCATTCCTTTAACTACAACATTAACGAGAGTACGGGGTGTCCCAAAAGCCACTACGCACTTCTTTTTTTTTTTTCCACATGGGAATCATTAATGACGATACTTTAAGTGTTGCTGGTGCGAAAATTGGGTTTCCTGCATTTCCCTCCCGAAAGAAAGAAGAGTTTACAGAGCTCGTTGTCCCTTGTAATGTCGCGCAAGTGAAGGATAGAAGTCAAAACAATACAGCAAATTATTTTGGCGCAAACAACTTCCTCCCTATGATGTGCTCATTAACATTGTTGCCATGAAGGGCAATAATTCATATTTGCAAGTTGTTTCAACCTGAATTACTGTTTTAGAGCCCCAAAAATACAAGTTGTGTTGTTGTTTTCAAATTGTGTACATTGATAATATTGTAAACAGTTCGCTGCCTCGCATCATAACATTTTGCCCCTCCCCTGTAGCAAAACTGTGAGTGTCTGTTCCAGGGTACCTCATGTCGCGTTCCCTGTGAGCGCATATCAGCTTTTATTATAAATGGTCCTTTCTCTTATCAGCCGCAGCACACCAACGTATGCTTCTGGTACCTTCCGCCGAGCCTGCGCGGCATGCCAGCTGGTAAAGAGAGACAAGAGAGGTTGCACAAGGTAACGACTGCTTGAAAATTCACTCAGCACATTCATTTGCGAGATAACGTCGAATGATTCTCAAGATCCTCCGATTTGGAATCTAACCCAAATTTTCTGGGAAAACGCTGACTGATCACGTCACATACTATTGGTTTCAGCGCGCCCCCCCCCCCCCCCCCCCCCCCCAAAAAGAAATAGAATTGAGTAACCTCAAAATATCTTTTTCTTTTTCAATGCATTTGTGATCGGCTTTGTAGGTTCCACTACATTTCGTAACATTTGTGTGTGATTTCCTCCAAAAGGTGGCCCCAAAGATCAAGGCCATGATGATGGAGTCTGGTACCACGATGGTGGGCTACCAGCCTCAAGGGGAGAAGGTCAACTTCTTCCGCATGGTCATCTCCAACGCGGCTGCGACGAGTTCCGATATCGACTTCCTGGTGGAGGAGATCGAAAGACTCGGCCGGGATTTGTAAGAGTCCCGCGCGCACCGCGAAATGTACAACTTCATACACAACGGAGGTCACATCATTAGGTACGCCCGCACAATCTGATGAGCTCCCCAGACAAGCACTCCCTGTATCAAAAAGGTCGACAAAAAGTTTGGGGGCCGGTTCTCATGACATGGTGTACCTAATGTTATGGCCTGCGATCGAGATTGAAAGTGTTGAGCATTTGCGCTTAGCGGCTGATGAGTGACCACCAATATGTCATGTATTCTATGCAGAATAGTTTAGAAGACTGAATGAAGGTAAAAAAAAAACAAAACAAAACAAACACAAAAAAAAAGAGCACAACCTTCTAGCATTGACGTGTAAGTTATGCATTGCACAGCAAATACGTACCTGTGTGTTGATGGACCATGTTGTTTATGTCATGCTCAAATCAATCATTCCCTTGGTGGTGATTTAAGTATAAACAGTATGGCGGAGTCAATGTAACATGTATTGTACTTATTATGGCGGTCTTTTTAGATATTGTATTGGATATAGTACTGTTACAAAATATATGTTTTACGGTGACCAAACATTAAATGTAAATCAACCGTACTCTGTCAGAGATGTAATCGCGTTATTTTATTTTATTTTATTTTTTTATAGCTCAATGTTTTGGCTTTTCATGAGTCTTTTATGTGCTTTAGTGAACCAAAGATGGGTTGAGTTCCATTAACGGACGTGTTTATTGCCCTTACGGATAAAATCACATTTATAGAATATTTTAACTGTGCAATACGTGTTGTGCTAACTGTGCAAAGCCGTTTTTTGTTTGTTTGTTTGGTTTTTTTTTTGGGAGAAAAGCACAATGCTAAAATGCTAGCGACAACGATTGTTTCTGCGATTTCGCGTTTGTCCGAGTGGCAACCACATTGCGCAACATGCTCGCCAAAGTCACTCTTTTCTGTGGAGACCTTAAGCAGTATTTATCCTGAAGAATTTAGCTTGTACATTGTTTGCTGTTGTAATAAGAACCAAATAACATTCCGGGATCAGATGAAATGTCAATGTAGGCACTTTAACTTCTCGTTTCCAGAGTATTACTGTTGTAACCACAGTTCGAATAAAGATGTGAGCTGTCAAGCATCTGTGGGGACATGTTTTTCACCTTACAACACTTAAGTTATTACTGTTAGGAATAATATGATGGTTATTGGGATTGACGTGATGATTACACTGGTCAACAGAAAATTTTAATCAGAGATGGTTTTATGCGGGCCCTAAACGTGTATTTGACGCCGATTTAAAAAATGTCTTGACTTTTATTTCCAGCACATCAACTTACTCAAGATATTTTTTGTTTTGGTTTTTAAGTTTGACCGGTAAAAACTTGCACAATACCGGTTTTACCGTTTGTGAATGAAAGCTGTGACGTTTCATAAAAATAAAAAATAAAAAAAACATTGACCTGTTGCTAAACCTAACCCTTAATTCGTCAATATGACTAAATATATTATATATTAAATATGATAAATATGATATTATTCTAATTATGAAAACTTGATGTGCTGGAGAAAAACCAAGGGCAGATTCGGAATCACCGCATACAAATATCATCTAGAAAACTTCGCTTGCATCTTTAATTACAAATGTAGTAAAATTGTTGACCAGTGTTGTGATGATCACATTTGCATTTCATATTTGCCGTTCGTTAAAAGTGCGTTTGGTTCTTTTCATGTCATAATAAGGCTTAACAGCGACAAAACTTAAAACACAAAGTTACTACCTGTCTAGCTAGCTAGCTAGCCGGACGGACTAGAATCTAGCTAGCAAAATCATTTTTTTGAAATCATCTCAAATATGCTCCATTTGCTGCAATGAACAGCACATTGTTTTCATCTACAATCCGACTCAATGAAATCGTTGACCCCGAAGCAAACATTCTCATGTGTTGTAAACCGCCCACCTTTTTTTTCAGATGTCCAAGTATGTTCCGTAAACAAATGCAAGCAAAGTGAGTTTGTTTCCAAGGCATTAAGGCCAAATTGCAGAAGAAAAAAAAAATCTGCTCTTCTGCTTTAAGACAGCGCCCCCTTCTGTCCTTACTCCTGCAAGAGCATTAAGACAGTTTATTCTTTTTTTTCCCTGGGTGAGCCTATTTGGTGGCTGCGCCTGGCTGCATTTTATTTTTGGACACTGGAGCGTTAGATATGGACTGGTTGCCTGTGTGGCTCCTCTCCCATCCTCCCTCCTTCCAGACAACACTTTGTTTCATGGTTGAACGGCCGCGATCATTACGAGCCTGCTGTCCCCAACTGCTTTTTGTACTTACAAGAGAACAGTAAAACTCACCAAAAAAAAAGTTGATTTGGTTTATGTCTAAAAACGTGTAAAATAATCACTAAACCATTCAGTCCATTTTTCATGATGCATCATTTTCGGTTTTTGCTGAGCAGCATTTCATGTTGGGGTTTTTTTATAGTTTAATCGGAAGCCAAATCTATCAAATTAATGATCTACAATCCTCAATTAATTGGTTTGCTCAAGCCAGTGAGATAAAAGGAAGATGACGTGGGAGTTTGCATTATGCTTCTTCGCCTTGAGTCTCTGGAGGGCTGGCTGCTGAACACCAGACCGTGAAACGTTTATCTGCTCCTGCAGCAGTCTGCTCGCCCTCCGTTTTGCAGCAGCAGCACAGGAAACAATTTATACAAGCAAAGTGAGGGGGTAAAAAAAATGGTTTGTTTGGTGATTTATATTTTTGTTCCAGGTGTAAGTCATTTTCAGTTGCCAGGATGTTTTGTTTTTTAACCAAACAGACAAAGCCCAGGCAAGAGAGGACTACTTTAACGTACTGGTCCAAAAACAACCAATAACTTTTTGAAGATAGGCCCCGCTAGCTTATTGCTAACATACAAATACCATTGACATGCTAACAATTAGCACTGGTAGTTGCAGTGTTGGAACCGTTGAAGCAACGGATATCTGAGCACAAAAGTGAAGCAACACATTGGCAGACTGTCACAATACTGACAAGCATATATTCCTTATCCTCTGTGAAGAAAAAGACGATCTTATTCAGTCACTGTGAAAAAGTATATTTGGTCACGAACTGGACTGTATTTTACTAATACGGTAGCCACCTGTATGAAGAAGCCAAATATATCTCCCGCCACATGATATTGTAGATCCTAATGGCCTGATTATGTAATGAATTGATGATAATGATTGACCGACACACACACACGCACGCACACACACACACACAAAAGCCAGAAAGCTATTTTTGAACCACCTCCAAAGATCAATAATGACAAGCTGATTACTTAACGTTCAACAGAGAGATGCTTTTTTGTTTAAGCACTCAGTTTCGAACAAGTGATAGTTGCATCAAGAGGGAACACCTCCACGCCTCTCTGACTTAGAAAGTAATTATGATGGCTGTTGAAATTACCTCCAGATTCTATAACCTCATATACAACGGAGTTTCGTGGTGTCGAAAAGCATCGTCTGCGTCGATGTCAGGATGCCTTGAAGTATTGCGCGCTTTTTGCACAAATTTCAATTCCTCCAAGATTGGCCCGATAAATCTGAGCAAGCTTTTTAGAGCACAATTACAAAGTTCTGAAGTGTCAGCAAGCTGCTGCTGGGAGTTAGACTTTATTCATTGGCTTGTTGAAAGAGAACGTGTCACCGGGTGAAGAACGTCTCTCACTTGCTGCTTGAATGATGTGGTGCACAAAAGGAGGCAATGAACTTCATGGTAGTCGCAGACTACAATATGATGAGGACTTTTAATGTTGCTGAATGGGTTGGGGGGGGGTTTCAAACTCTGGGTTGGGGTTTCAAAGTAGAGTTTTAAATTAGGATTAGGGTTTCAATGTCGGGTTTAAAATTAGGGTTAGGGTTTCAATATAGGGTTTAAAATTTGGGTTAGGATTTCAAAGTAGGTTTTGAAACTAGGGTTGGGGTTTCAAAGAAGGGTGTCAAACTGGGGTTAGGGTTTCAAAACCGGGATAAAAAGTTGATTACTGAGTCAAAGTAGGGTTTCATATTAGGGTTAGGGTTTCAAACTATAATATTAAAGTATGGGTAGCGTTTTAAGTTGCGTCTTCAAATTACAGTTTTGGTACTACTGGAGACAAATTCCTTGTGTGTGCTACATACTTGGCCAGTAAAGATGATTCTGATTAAAGGTTTTTGAGCTGCATCTGTAATCGTGTCACTGCGTTAAAATGACTAAATATTCTAATGCACACAAATTTCGCTCCTCTTTGCAGTCGCGGCACTTTATTGGACTGCGTCAATGTTAGTTGACGGCAGGGAGCGGTGCTGCATGAACTTCTATCAACGCAATATTATTCATAATATCGTATAGTGGGAACAAAATAATACAAAAGGAGGATAAATTAATATTTTCTGCAGCTTCTCCTTGAGTTTTTTTTTTCTGTATTTACATCATGTTATGTAGTCGCGCCAGAGCCTGTCGAACGAGGCTACATCTTCCTTGGAGGAGGTCACACGCGTGGCGGAAGTGCCGAGTTGCAACAATCCTGACAGGAACGACGTCCTTTGACGTGCAAATGAGACAAGGCACACTCGTCCTGCGCTCGAATCCACTCCACGGCGGGAAAACTCAACCCTCCGAACAGCATGGGGGGCTCGACAAGTGTGCAGGTGCCAGGTGGGGGAAGTGAAGGCTATCACGTCCTCAAAGTAAGTCCCGAATTCAACACCAAGTGCCGCGAATTAATGTAAATCACACGTTACTTTATATTGAATGAATATTCAATATGTTATTGTTTGTGTGTCAGTCTATGGAGAAATATAATTTGGTTTGCTTTCTGTTTTCTTTCAATACTTATTCTTTCTGTTGACGGAGCGTCGTGCTGCGTTCATGTACTCTCGGATATAAAAAGGCGTCGATTCATTGGCGTTGGATTTCACCGCATGCGAGTTTCGCTCCGCGTTGTTTATCAACACCTTTTCATATGAGTTGTCACTTATTTATTTTTCAGCACTTATTTTTGCAGGGCGGTAAACACGATTAAGTTTGGAATTGGCGTCGGTGAAGGGCTGTTTGGCAGCGCCCTGATTTTAAGTCGTTGGGAACAAAAAACTTCAAGAATAACCGGTGTGGTGACTTAGCAGAAGGGGCTGAACACATGGATTTAATTGCTGATTTACTGGGTTGTAAAGTGCAGCAGCACTGCGGCATTTCTTGCATGATGGACTCGACCCCATATATTACATTCTGACTTTTGACATGTGAAAGTAGTGTATAGTATACTGTAGTTTTAGGTCCCTGATATTTTTTTATTTTCTTCTTTTGTGTGAAAAATCTAAAAGCGGCGAGAAAAATTCAGAAACCATGAATAGTATATAAAAACACAATATAACAGCACGCAGTTCAGAATTAATATTTATCAAACAACATTAGAGTCATATAAAAATGTACAATACTCACCAGACATTCAGATTATTACCTGCGTTAAAGTGTTGATGACTGCCACAGACGTGTTTGCTCGTCGAAGTTGGCTCAAACAAGCGTTGCTCTGATCAACCAATCACAGGACGGGAAAGCAGTGACGTCACAGAAAGCCAGCGAAACTAAGATTGTGATGGGAAAAAAAATATCAATGAATGAAAATATTTTCAAAATGCATATTATTATTAACCTTTATATTTTGTTGCAAGAGTTTCACATTCACAGTTCTAAATTTCTAATAAATGTTTTGGATTGAACTTGATATTTATTCATTCGTTGCTTTTTTTTTACTGTAATATTAAAAATTGTGTTGCAACAAATGTACTGTTTTACAGGGTGCAGTTTTATTTCTCAATTAAAAAAAAATATATGATTAAAAAACTGCCCCATTGCTAAAATACTTTAATTTTAATAAACACACATTATTGTGTTTGTTTTTTGCAGGTTCAACAGAATTCTCCAGGTGATTGTGCAGGACTGGAGCCGTTTTTTGATTTCATCATCGCAATTTGTGACACTAGACTAGTAAGTCAGATCGGCATGTACGGTCCAAAATGAGTGTGGCCAATTCATATACGTATTGCACGTTTGCTGTGCGACAGAGCAAAGACAACGACACCCTGAAAGATGTGCTGGAGAGGAACGTGGACAAACCCACCAAACTGGTGTTGTACAGTAGCAGGACGCTAAACGTGAGGGAGACAGAGGTCATCCCCAGCAGCTTGTGGGGCGGCAGGGGGCTGCTGGGAATCAGCATCCGCTTCTCCAACTTTGAAGGCGCTAGAGAAAATGTTTGGCATGTCTTGGTGAGTAAAGTGAAAGACTGAGAGACTCAAGCATCACTTGTGTGAAACGTTAAACGGCGGGTCAAAATTGTTTCTCAAAATTATTTAGCCCTAGTTCTCAGTCTTTGCATGTTTTCAGCAACTAACGTCCAACATGTAAAATCTATTAAGAAACAAATCTCAGAATTCACTTCCCAGATTCTCTAATTGTACTTATCGACCAACCAGATAGCTCTGATGTCATCCGCTGTTCTCTCAAGCATTTGAACTGTCTTTTGTGGTGATGTGGCGGATGTCCAGGAGGTGGAACCGAAATCTCCTGCAGCCCAGGCTGGCCTCAGACCCTACACCGACTACATCGTAGGAGCTGAAACCTTCCTGGACAAGGTAGGCAATTTGAACCTAGGATGGATGTCATCACGATGGCGAGAGGCCGACCCGCTGTTCTGTGTCTCTTCTTCAAACAGAACGACAATCTCTTCAAACTCATCCAAGGGTACGAAGGGAGGCTGCTCAAGCTCTACGTCTACAACACGGACACAGTCGAGTGCCGCGAGGTGTACGTCAGGCCAAATTGTCACTGGGGGGGAGCGGGCAGGTACGCCAGTAACCACGGAAACCAACCCTACTCAATTCGGACCGTGGTTCCCGCAGTTGCATATGTGAATGATGATCTTAATTTGTTTTGTCTTCAGTCTAGGCTGTGGGATCGGCTATGGTTACCTGCACAGGGTACCCACCACGCCTTCCAGCAAGACCAAATTTCTTCCTCCACCCCATGACGATTCCTCAGAGGTAACGCAACACTTTTAAATGGGTTCTTGTGAAGTCGCTAAATATTATTCACAGAGACGGAATTATTTTGATTACCAGGTTGGTCTCACTGCTGTCATTCCAACCGTTCCGGTGAATCTTTCGACTGGCTCAGAGCAGACAGACTCGTCTTTAGACCTTGTCAGTGTTCAAACAGGTACGCTGAAGCTTCTTATTAAATAGTTTGTGCCTTGAAGTGTTTTTCACGATGCACGCTGTCAATCGGCCAATGCTTTTGACTTGTGACTCATCTTACTTTACACACACACACACACACACACACACACACACAAACGAACCTCCAACCTGTTCATTGCTACTCTCAACTGAAAGTTAGTCAATCTCAACAAAAAACAAAGACAAGTGCGCATAGCATATTTAAAACAAAACATAGCCCCAGCTAGCTTAATGCCAACATATAATAAGAAACTTCATAAGCGCACAGGCTCATGAGCATCGATCGCAGCGTTGTCATTTAACAATACGCACGTTCTTTATCCTCTGCGAAGAATAACTCTTACCGCTCTACTGAGAAGCCGACATGGGAGCTGAGCCTCCAGTACAGTTTATCCATATGTCTGTCTTATACTGCTTCTATGTGGACCAGGCAGGCACATCAGAATAGGCAGCTCAAGGGTAAAATAAATGGGAAAGTGTGACAAAATCATTGAAATTTGGTATATCAGCAAAAAAAAAAAAAAAAAAGCTCTGTAATTTAGTCCACTACAGATTTTTTTTTCCTGTCTCCAGATATTCTCCCTTCACCACAGTCGGTCACCATCCCCACATTCACTCCATCTTCATCGGCACCTTGTCCTCCGACCTCCTGCGCAGATGCTGCTGTCACACAGAACCAAGCATCTCCCCCCGCTGTCGTCCAAACTAGTTCACCAAGCCAAGCTCCATCATCAGTAATCAATTCTGACTCGATAAATAGCTCAATGCCTGGAGACTCATCTTTACACCCACAAACTGTGTGAGGATCAGATTGTCGTAACTGTTTGCGCTCGCGGGGATTTTAGGTGAGTTGTGGATTTTCCCAAAAAAACAGGTTAAAGTGGACCAAAACTGTACTCATTTTGGAATTTGTGGAAAGATTTGTAAAATAAATAGTCTATATTAAACATTTATATACAAATTGCTTGTGTGCGTCCTTGACTGTCATAGCTGTAGTCCTCTCAACGCCACAAGATGTCACTATACTGAAATCAAAGTAAGCATGAGGAAGGTATGGGTGGAACAGGAAAAAAAGATACTCCATGTAGACGACATAGTTCACTTTGGGGGGGGCAGGGGGGGGGAACAATTTGTCTCATTTATTATTCACTCTTAGTGGAACTATACAATTTGTACCCGAAGTGAAATATACAGCCCTTAAAAAAATAAGAGCAACAAAAGCAGCAAAATGAATCCACCCAAAAAGGCCATTCCGAGTGGACATTTTCACGCTTTGTACATGTTACTGCTGCATTTCAAATTTCAAAGACAAACTGTACAGAATATACTTTGCCAAAGTTATCTGTATTAATATTCCTGCATAGGATTTTATGCCACAATTCTACATTTGGTTACTTTGTGCATGAAAACGGAAGTACTGAAAAGCTTCCCTGGCCTATGTGACAGGAGATGCCCCCCTTTTTGTACGCTACAGGTTACTTTCTCAAGGCTAACAAACTCAAATTCAAGCCTAACGTATGGGAACGGAATATGAAACCAAATCAACAGCAATTCTACTTGGTGGCTGTCCTCCGTCAAGTCATTTTGAGCAGCTCAAACATTTATCCAGCCACCGCCCGTGACATTTAACCCTCAGCAGGGGGTGGGGGTGGGGCCTCGACTTCCTCGGTCGCTATCCACTTGCAACATTTCAACAGTGTCCACTCACATTTTCTTCAAGGTACGGAGTCTGTTTCAGTGCTTTTGTCATCTCCTCAAAGCGGCTGCTGTGGGTGAATTAGTGCCAATTGATGGAGGCTGTCCACTCACATTTTCTTCAAGGTACGGAGTCTGTTTCAGTGCTTTTGTCATCTCCTCAAAGCGGCTGACTAGCCCATGTCCTTTACTCACCCCCCCCCCGCCCAAAAAAAAAAAAAAACCCAAAAACAAAACATTCCTTTACTGTCCCCCTGC